TCATAACTCATCAACATATNCATTTATATATATATATATATATATATATATATATATATATATATATATATATATATATATACGTGTTGGTAATAGACCATAATTTTTACAATATTCTATAAATTCTACTGAATGTTTGGCGTTAATATGTAAACGAACTACAAACATATTAACGCCAAACATTCGGTAGAATTTATAGAATATTGTAAAAATATATATATACGTGTATGTATTAGTGTGATATAGATAGTATATGTTTATATAGTTTGATTAATTCATAATTAGAGTTTGTTTTTGCTAAAAAAAATATTTCTCGCTATGTCATCTTACCTTATGTTTTTTTTCCATTTTTTTGGTATTTTGAATTCAAAAATCTTTCGGATAAGAAGTTTAAAACATTAATCTATATGAATTCGTGTCTTCATAGTACGAAGCTGGAGTCCTCAAAAGAGTAATTATTATTTTTACCGTCATTTTATTTTATGACCACTGGTGAACCCATCCAATCCATAGCTACTGGACGATGGCCATGTTTAGTTTGTAAAGCTGGTGTAGGTAACAATTCAATCAAGTGTCAGCAGTGTAACCAGTGGTGTCACAAATGTTGTTCAAAAATAGTTGGTACTTTATCTAGTGTCCAATTTTGTTTGTCCTGCTTGCATCAATCCACAACAACAAATTCGAAATAGCAATGTTTCGGAAGCCATTAAAGTAGAGAAAATCACATCGTTTCAATATCTATGGGATGTTCTAGATTGTACTGGAGCAGCTGAAGCTGCCGTTCGAGCCCGCATACGTGCAGCCTGGAATAAATGGCATCTCCCTGTTTCTCTATTGATGCGGCGTGACATCCCACTACCACTACGATCAAGACTTTATAAATCTGTGATACGTCCGGTGTTGTTATATGGTGCAGAAACATGGCCAATGACAGCCAAACTGGAACAACAACTTAACGAACCGACATGAAAATGCTCCGATGGAAGCAACGAATTAGTCTGAAGGACCACATCAAATCTACCGAAATCTTGCGTCGTGCTGGTTTAGATGATATAAAGGACGAATGCCGGCAACACCGTCTGCGGTGGTTCGGTCATGTCAAACGAAGTGGAGACTGCCATAAATTCTCTTGCAGATGTTAAAGTACCTGGCACACGTCCCAAAGAAGTCCTGTTCGCAAACAATCGAGCAAGACATGAAAGCTCTAAATTTAAACGAAATGGATACAACTGATCGTCTAATTTGACGCAAAAAGTTGATGGCAAAGAAAACAACCCCCTACCTCGGGAAACTGGGTCTCTGGACGCTTAAACGAAGATTGATTGATTCAATTCTTCAGACCACTGCTAATAGTAGTAGTAGAAGTAGTAGCAGTGGCAGCGATAGTAGTACTAGAAGTAGTAGTAGTGATAGTAAAAGTAGTATTAGAAGTAGTGGTAGTGCTACCAATGGTGAAACATGAATTAAATAGCGTTGGTTTGCAATGTTTTCAAGTGTAGTTATGTTATGTGTAAATAATCGAGGCACGTAAACAACGCCACGAAAATTGAATTAAAAAAGTGAAATTGTACGGGTTGTGCTGTAATTCGTTTAATAGTACGTTTGCTCTGAATTTTATTTAGTTGGTTTTGTAAACTAAAGAAGGTTAAAGGTCCATCACACGTTTGCTAAAACTAGTAGCACATGAAAGTGAATGATGTCAGGCGTTCTGCAGTTTATTGCGGGCACTTGCTGCTGTTCATTGAACTCAACGAAACGAAGGGAAGATTAATTTTCTGACAAGTTTTCTTCTCATATTTCCTAGTTTAAATTCAAATCATTCGAAACATCGACGCTTTGAAATAAATTAAGTTAGTTAACTTTTCAAATTTATTCAACCAGAAAATTTTAAAACAATAACATTAAACAAGTTGATAGTTGCTCTCATGTCATGCTATTTATATATTTAGGTTTATATTCGCATATGTATGCATTTAATTCATTGTCCTATTATTTGAAAAGATTATTAACTTTTAAATGTCCGCATATTTATCAGCAATTTGAATATACAATTTCATATTTGAGAGGTTTTTCAATTCGAGAAAATCAAAAGATGTAAACGCACATGTTATTGGCTAATTAGGATGACTTACATGACATTTTTTTGGTTCCAACAAAAAAATTTGCAACTACAAAAAACAAACAGCAGCAAGTGCGTAAGTAGCTTCTCTGGAAATGTTCTTGGACGAGGTAACTGAATGCAGGCAACTCAGTAAATTTTGAAAATCATCAGCATGTTGAAAGCAGACGAGAAGATGATGAGCAAGGAAGCCGAACAAGTTGCAACGTCACTTGGTTCTTTATTCTTTGATTTAGTGTGTGGCTGAGTTTCAGGAGGTTCTGATATTGTTTCAATTTGTTTTGTCGAGGGGGCATCTGGTTTCTTAGTTGGGACTTCGTCTTTATTCGGGTTACGAGTTAAGAACTCGTAGCCGGCAAATAAATAAGCGCACATAAGTTCATCATCCCCAAATTTTGACACATTCCAACGTGGTCTTTCCTTGTCAATTAACTGGAAATTTTGGTCGAATGGTTCACGGATAATATAAACCTGATATCTGTGGGGTTCTGGTCCATATGGGTATGGTGGAATAAATTCTACAAGTGATGAAAATATTGTTTGCGATAGTTTCATTATATATTTATTTCCATTAAATTATCCTATTGTTTAAATGGCTGTAAATATTTTTTTTAATCTCAGGAGTAAATTTAAGTGATTTACACAAACTATAAAAGGACGTATTAAACTTTTTTTTTTAATTTTGTGGTGATTTAAGAATCAGTTTCATCTTATCATTAAATTTGTTCTTTTAACAAAATTTTCGTGCACTAAAAATCAAAAATATATACTGAACTCAAAGTTACTAAGATATTTAACTTACCCACTAGGTCATTTTTGCCATCACTAGTTACTCCTTTTACCAAATCAGCACCCTATAAGTTAACAAATATTACGAAACGAAAATAAATTTTAAAAATTTTACATCACGATTTTACCGTTGTCTTTTTTACCCAATGCAGCCAAGAGCGATCAGTGGGATTCTTAGGATTTGGAGCGTCCAGATCGACCATCACAACCATGTACTTATCTAAATCCCTCTGAGTTAATAATTGAAGTTTTTCCACCAACGTTTTAAAATAATTCACTTACTCTTTAGAAACATTTCAAACGAATGATCAAGTTTCCACGTCCGACAGAATTTTAACATACAATCATTTTTTAAATTTTTTGAAAAAATATTTCAAATAACAATTGGATAAAAAATAAATGTATTTCCACCGTATAATTGTAGTAGACTGTCGGTGCTCTCGCAGTTAGAGATTGAGGTACCTCGATTCCGCAACCAGGGTAGTCTTTAAGTTCCATTCTCATATAAATGTGTGATACATATTCGCAGAAACCGTCGACGGGTGGATTTTGACAGTCTTCATCTCCAGCAACATCGATGACTGAAACACTCGCAATAATTAATAAGAGCAACGAAGTGCACGGCGAAGAAAGCAACCTCGCCATTATTTTCGCTTGATAGTATCGTGTGAAAACTCAATCTGACCCGCTAACGAACGAATTCAAATGGAACGGTTGGAATCTGTTATTATGATTTTGGATTGGTTACGTCAAAATAAATATTTCGTCAGCATAGAACAATAAAAAAATGCTAATCAAAAAACAATACAAGACCAAACATTTCTAAACCACACAATACTACACGACAAAATACAATACTACTATACAAACGTGGTATCTGAAGCTACCAACCTTGTAGAAAAATGTCATGTTAAATATTTTGAGTTTGAAGCTAAGAAATGGGTGAAGTTTTTCTATAGCAATAAAAAAAAGGATGAACGAAGGAGTGGTCTAATGAATGGTTGAATGAAGAATTGAATAAATGAAATGAAGAAGATATTTCAAAACTTGGGCAAGTCTTTGGTTGAAAACAAAAGTTGTAGAAGCCATCAGCTACTCGTCAATTTTGCTGAAAGTTTTGAGGTTACGTACTTCAATTATAAATAGTCTAGATCAGCAAGCGTTTATGTTATAACTATATAAAATACGTTGTCAATCAATCTTCGTTTAGCGTCCAGAGACCTAGTCCCCCCGAGGAAGGACGTTGTTTTCTTTGCCATCTTTCATTGATTAATATATAAAATACGTTGTATGAAACAATAAACTGTCTTGTCTCAGACGACAAATTTATATAGCATACTTATAAAATCAGTGTTCGAATTGTGAAAAATGAAGTAGGGGGGGTCATAAAGATTGGCGGGTGAAGTTTTGAATGTACGGGGGTCAAATTTTGACCCCTCCAACATTAAAATTAAATGAAAGGTGGAGGGTCTTATTTTAGAGGTAGAGGGGTAAAACCCCCCAACCTCCCATTAATTCGAACCCTGTATAAAATATAATAAACTTTGGAATAATTTTGACGTTAATTAGAACTTATAAAAACACAAATAGAATATAATAATTCATTATAGTAAGAAAAGAGAGACGTTTACTACAAAAAAAAATATGTCATCGCCTATCGCCTGTACAATCTTATAAAGCAACAAATAGGCTGTTAGGTTCTTTAACAAGTAAAATGGAGAATAAATAACGAGAAATGAAATTATATATTTTTTTATTTATTTATGTTTTTTCATCAGTTTTTTTAATATTATTTCATATTATTATTGTTTTTTGGACATTTAAATTATTATCACATATTAGATATGAGCACATGGATTTTAATCTACGCTCATTATTAAATGTTATGTTATCTCATATTATGTCCTCCCAGTTTAAAATATTCCATCTAAAAGCCCACTTTATATCTCCTTATCAATCCGTCCCTACAGCCCGTATATAAGTATCTCCCATCGCCTGACATCGTAAATATGGAATCTGGAGCAGTGAACTCCTGGCCAGTTTTCAGGCATTCGTCAGCGTAGAAACATGAACCATCACCTTTCGTTAAACAAATCATAATAAGAACAATAACCACAATAATAATAATAACAACAATAATAACAATAACAGTAATAATAATAAAATGATAGTTTACTGGTTGAGATGAAACAGCCTGCTCCGTGTGAAAGCATGGCGAGGACTTTTGACCTACTTTCTTGTAATATTCTCACGGCAGAGCTAGTGCCATGGAGTGAAAAAAAAGGAAAGAAAAATACAACGAAACGTCATTGCTACTATTTTCATGCTGCTGTCTTATTATTATTATGACGTTGGCGGTGTTGTTGTTGTAGTAGTAGCAGTTTTTGTTGTTGTTGTAGTTGTTGTTGTTGTTATAGTTGTTGTTGTTGTAGATGTTGTTGTTGTTGTAGTTGTTGTAGTAAATGTTGTTGGATTTTGTCGTTAAGATAGTTATGTTACGTTACCGTTATCAATGAATGAATGAAATGAATGAATGAATGAATGAATGAATGAATGGATGAATGAATAGTTAAACGTTAGTTATTACAATCAGTCTTTGCGCCAAATTCATGGCCTCACGAAGAAACAAAACCACCTCCACAGACGGAATACTTCTTCGAAAAAAAAAATCGTCAACAATGAGACAAACATGTCGAAGAAACACACAAAAAGAAAGAAAGAAAGAGGATAATAAAAGACAAACCTTGCCCTCCTGACATCAACCAAATGCAAGGTTGAATCGTCACAACCAACCAGAACGTCATACTCTGACACTCTAGTGCAGCCGTTACATGCTGAATTAGTGTTGTACGTGAAGATCTAGAATGAATGAATGAATGAATGAATGAATGAATTAATGAATGAATGAATGAATGAGTGAATTAATGAATAGATAAATAAATGGATGGATGGATAGATGGATGGATGGATGAATGAATGAATGAATGATTGAATTAATGAATAGATAAATAAATGGATGGATGGATAGATGGATGGATGGATGGATGAATGAATGATTGAATTAATGAATATATAAATAAATGGTTGGATGAATGAATGAATGGATGAATGTGCGGATGAACGAACAAACATTAGTAGCTGTTGTACAGTTGTTTGTAGATGATAAAAATATTAGCATCGCCATACGTGCTGCTTGTTGTGTAGGGCCAGGCATGATAATTTATTTCTCTCCGTAGCAACGAGTAAAATTTTGCCTTCTGTTAAAACTTCTTTATCACCTAAGTAGAAGCATGCATGTGTTTGTGTGCCTATGTGTGTTTAAGTGTCAGTTTGTGTGTGTGTTTGTGTGTGTCAGTCTGTGTGTGTGTGTGTTTGTGTGTCAGTCTGTGTGTGTGTGTGTTTGTGAGAGAAATTAAAGACAAAGAAATGAGAAAAATAACTAAAATGTAATTACTAATACAAAGAGCGGGTGGAGCTATCGCCAAACCCGACCACGACCCCATCAAATAGCAAGCGTTGATTGGTCCACTGTCCAGCCAATCAAAAGTGTGCAAGCACTGTGATTGGCTGCAGTCCCAGAGTTTAACTGTGCCATCTCTCGACGCGGAAACAACATTTCGACCTCTGTCCACAATCGCCGTGTCAGTTACGCCTAGATTTGCGAAAGAGTAAGAAAAAAAAGGTTAAAAAAAGAAAAAAAAACATAATAATCATAATAAATTATTATGAATAACTCAGCGGCATAGTACCCCGGCACTCATTATTAGCCGACCGACGAAAATGCCACAACGAATAAAAATATCGCGTGATTTAATCTTCCTCGCTCTGAAAAATCCAACAAACACATTCCCTCCCAAATGCAAACATTTTATTCATCAATAGCTAGGAGGCCGCTATAAAAATTAATAACGATGACACCTAAACAGCAATAATAATAATAATAATAATAATAATAATAATAACTGACCCTGCCTGTGACCTTTCAGTGTAGCCGCACACTTACCATCTTCGGCAGACCAGATTTTCAATTGAGTGTCAGCTCCTCCAGTCAAAACGACGAGGCCAGACGGGAAAAACTTACTCGTATATACCTCCCCACAATGACCTTTTAGCTCTCTCTGATTGGTTGGGTGGTTTGTTTGATCAGTCGGTTGGTTGGTTGATCGTTTTTGATTGGTTGGTTCAATGATTAATCGCGTTTGATTGGCTGGTTGAGTGATCAGGTATGAGTGGTTGGCTGACTGATCTTTTGATTGGCTGGCTGACTTATCGTGTATGATTGGTTGGTTGACTGATCAGCAACAATAACAACAATAATAATAACAATAATAACAACAACAATAACAACAACAACAACAATAATAATAAATAAATAAATAAATATAACTGACCCTGACTTCGCCATCTTCACACAGCCATATTCTGACATTACCCTCGCTATCGCATGAAACCCCCAGCCCACCGTTAGTTACGTCCAGGCAGTTGATCTATTCGGGGTGGTAATTTTGAAAAAATATTTTGAATAAATTAATAAATTATTGAGACCATTTTGAATAAATAAATAAATAAAATGATTAATTAAATAGCAATTAATAACGATTATTGAGATTATATCAAATAAAAGATAAATTATTGAGATTTTTTTTCAAAAAAAAAAAAAGAATTAACCACAACAAAAACCACATCAACAACAATAAATAACAATAATAACAACAACAACAATAATAATAATAACAATAACAACAAACAGTTTTCCAAGAGCTATGAACTTTCTGGAAAATCTGATCGGGAGCTTTGAACGTTAAATTGATTCTCGACTCGTCACTACTACCACCATCATCATCATCATCACGGCCACCATCTTTATCGTCATCACCATCAATTTTCTGCTTTTTTACATTGCATGACACATTAATCTGTCTCTAAAAGGAAAGCGAAATACCCAATTTTTTTTAAATTTAAAATTTTAATTTAATAATAGCTTATATTTCATTTCATATACACTAGCACACACTCACCACGCACGCACACGTACACACACACACACACACATAGATACAAACACATAATAACCAAAGGAATACAGACTATAAAGGATAAAATAATAAATAAAATAATGTAAATTACATTCTTCAAGAGTCTGGCAGAGAAAATGGATTGATGATTTGAGTGTAATTTTTTTTCAATCTCAACATTTTCAATGGTTTCATCTATGACATTTTCTTTCATTTTTAGCTCCCCGTATATTGTTTTAGAGCCTTTTATTTTTAAAAGAATATAAAATAGTAAAATAACCAAATCATTTGAATTTATGAAATTAATTTATTTAAAAATTAATCTTAGAAATAAATGTAAAACCAAAAAAATATGTTATAAAAAAATGATAAAATGATTCATTTTATTAAAAATTTAAAATAAAATCCACACAAAAACAAAAAAAAGGCATAATAAATTTGAATAAATTGTAAAAAATTATTTGTTCTCAACCACCATGTTTTTTTAAGCCAATCCATATTTTGTCATTTGCATTCCTGTTGGGATTTATTATTAATTATTCAATTTTATCTTATTTTAAAAATTTAAATTGTCCAATTTTATTACCACATTACTGAAACTTTTCAATTCAAATAAAAATAAATTCTGATTAATCATTAATTGATCAAGAAATAAAGATGACAATTGATGCAATCAGTATTTTAAAGTGAAACCACCTCAAAGCAGTGTCCCAATCGTCTTGGATAATTATTCTCTCACGTATTTCGATCATTTTGATGACAAAAATAGGTAAAAAACTACCTTTTTTCAATTTGAAAACAATTTAAATTAGTTCACTTTTAATGAGTAAAAGTGAGAAGCGTTTCATTTGACCATGTACATGAAGGAATAGCCTTTGATTAAAACGTTACGTATCAAATTTCGATTTATTTTCATATTTTTCGCAATTTTTTCAAAGTTATTTACTACAAATATTTATAATTATTTAAAAAATTTACAAAAATATTATGATTTTATCTAAATTAAGTGATAGTACTAAATGACAAAATTGTACTTTATGATATTCCATTTTACAGAACTATATGCAACCACCCTATTCGATGCTGTGCTATGTTAGCTTTAAAATATACTCTCTCTCTCTCTCTCTCTCTCTTTCTCTCTCTTTCTCTCTCTTTCTCTCTCTCTCTCTCTATATATATATATATATATATACACTAATTTATAAAACCCACACAGAGATTTGATATTTTATTTCACGTAAACTAAATTGTATTTTGTTTAAAAAAAAGATGACGAGATAATTTTCATTTGAACATTTATTACTTAACAGGATAGGCAAACCAAATTGTCCAAAAAATCAAATATCGAATTTTATTTATTTCTAGTTTTGAAAAAAAAATATAGTTTATCAACCAGCTGCCAACTAACTACATTAATTTTTCTTCGATAGTTTGATTTTGTCAAACGGTTTCATCAAATCTTCAGCCCTTAAGAAAAAAAAATTGTAACAAATTTTGATTTTATGGTATTTATACATAGTAGTTATGGCACAATTAAGTGCTGTTATCTGTAACATAACTATACACTACCTACATGAATAAAAAAAAATCAATAATAAAAGTGAAAACAATAACATACGTCGGTTTATTGTTGACATCAAAATGATTCTCCAGACCATTCCAGCATTTGTAGTAATCCGGATCAATCTTCCCACACCCATGCAAGCTCCATTCAGTCAGGGATAGGCTCAAGCAGGATTCAAACATAAAGGCCTTTGGACAAAATTTTTGAGATTTTTCAAAAAAAAATATTATGTATATATTCATTAGAAAAGCAAAGTTAAGAGATAATGGTTTTTCAATCCGACAATATAATTATAAAATGTACGAACGAACGAACAAAAGAACGAACGAACGAACGAACAAACAAAATGAATTTCTCCACAAACCATAGAATCTTGCGCTATCTTCCTCGGAACGAGGGTAGCCTGAGAATTCTCTTTAAAACATTCGGCATCTGGTCCGTGAGGGGTCATTATGCTATGTAGGGAAGCCCCCCCTGGCAAAAACCCGCACTCCTTTTAAAAATTATTACTTATAATTAATAATAATTAATATAAAATAATAACCATGATGATAATAAATAAAAATATTTGGTTACGAGATGGTTCTAATTTAAGAAGATTTCCGGTTATAACTACAGAAGCATGCAGTGTGTATGTGAATCGGGGTACTTGTTGGTCGAAATTACAACGCATCATCATACTACTACTACTGCTGTTGTCGCTGCTGCTGCTGCTTCTACTACTACCACTCAAAAAAAATTTTACCTTGGCTTCATAATTTCCTTGTATCAGTCCCATGAATTCACTCATGCAGTTCCCTATTTTGACGAGAATTTTTCAAATTTTCTGATGTTAAAAAGTTACACATTATCCTTTATTATCACCGTACATTATCTTTAATTATTTATTAATACATCAAATAGGGACCAAAAGTAATTACAAATCTTATAAAAAGATCACAACAATTACTAATCGCATCACAAAAATTACACCAAAAATTAAAAAAAACAAAAACTCATTACTATGATAATAGGGCGGTCTGAATGTGTTCTCCGAAATGGACCAACGGGGCGGGAAAATGACGAAATCAGCAATAGCAGTCCCCACTCTGGCAGATTGGCACGTTAACACTGTGAATATGGATGGGTCCTGGGTGGGTAGGTGGGTGGAAATGGTAATCCCTGAGATTTTTGAACCCGTAATATTTGTAGTGTAATTTTTTTGTGAAATTTGTGTGACTCAATTTGTAATTCTCGTGATCGATTTACCAGATTTGTAAATTTTTCTTGTCAGAATTTGACATATTAATAAATAATAAAAAAAATAATATATAACTCATGATAAAGAAATATAATTATAATGAAAATACCAGCACAAATACTAACAGCATGGTCGTACACAACTGTGTTTACCGGGCAGAAGTTGTTGAGATGGTATTTGTACGGGTACAAGTTACCAGTCCATGCTACTACATCAAATGGCGAGTGATCCTTCGTTTTATTATTTAATAAAATATTAATTTTAATTAATTATAATTTAATTATTATTATGATTATTATTTTTTTATATATTCGAGTATATTGTAATGTAATTTTCCAATATAATCATAATCTTCACTAAAAAAACAGTTTAAAAAAAAGTTTGATCATTTATAAATCAATATCTACACCCTAATCATTACTAAGGAAAGAATAAAACACAAAACAGGAGATGCTGTATTTAATTTCAAAACTGCAAGAATGTCAACCTGCAGAGCTGTGAACAGCAATCCTTGATACTTTGAAACGATTTTAAACTTCATGTCTGGCGCTTTCTCGTCGTAACAAGCTTCCGGAATCTCAAAATCTCTCGGATTTGCAAGCCCGTTCGCACCTATGGGGCCCAGATCTGGCAGTTTGAAGTGGGTGTCGTAAACCTCGAGTATGTAGCCTCTGGTCAGCCCGCTGACTTGCACTTGAAACCTTATTCCTTGCTGTTGGATGAGTGCATTTTTGATTTTCTCACTGAATAAAACTTTGCATATGTAATATAATTTGAATTGAATAAAACTCTTTAGAACACAGACCGGTATTACGCAGATCTCCAAAGGTTCAACCGTCAGTTTTCCAAATTCCGTCTTGATGTAAAGCGTTCCTTGCTGAGGTACTGTTGATGATTGTTTTGGTTATAATAATAATAATAATAATTAGTAGTAGTAGTAGTTTAGTTGTAGCAATAGTTACAGTAAAAGAAGTAACAACAGTTGTAGTATTAGAAGTAGTAGTAGTAGTAGCAGCAGCAGCGGCAGTAGTAGTAGTGGTAGTAGTAGTCGTAGCAGTAGTTTAAAGGTAGTAGCAGAGTAGTAGTAAATAAAATGAAACTACCTAATAGAAAATGACCATCCGAATTGTAGAAGGCACTGTGCACACAAAAATAAATTCGAAATAATGAATGAATGAATGAATGAATGAATGAACTAATTAATTAATTAATTAGTTAATTAATTAAGTAAGTAATTCATTAGTTAAAATCCCAAATATGATAAGCCAGTCTAACCTGTCTTTCATGGAGGCATTACACAGATAGACATGAATGGCTAAACCACTGCGCGTCCGCGGGTCGCCAGCTCCCGCTATCGTGTGAATACCCTGTAGAAATGTATTAAAATTTACTACTGTTACTACTGCTGCTACTACTACTGCTGCTGCTGCTGCTACTTCTGCTACTACTACTAACTCAAATAACTTAATATAACGCAATATATCACAATATAACAACAAAAAATATGAAAAAATGAAATAAACCTAAAATTTAAAAAATCCATGTTACCTCGAAGAAATTAACAGACTCTTCTTTAGGAATATCAAAAGAATTCCATCTTATCTGTAATATTTTCGCGGAAACTTGTTCATCGAACACGACAAACAAACATTAAAAACTTTTTTACATTCAAGACATTACGGATGCGACACATCGACCAAGAGAGAATGCTATATAACCTGAGACGGATCGATTTGATCGAACTTGGTGGTGAAGTAGGGTACGTTGGGCCCCTGAGACCAGGGTTCGTGTTGGGCCGAGGGCTTCATTCTGTACAGCCAACTTATTAATGGAAGAATTAATACATTTTATTGTTTTGTAAAGTATTGTATTGTGTTGTAATGTATTGTATCGTGTTGTAATGTATTGTATTGTGTTGTATTGTATTGTATTGCGTTATATTGTATTTTTTCAACTAATCTGTAAATATTTGGTAAATCTACAACTGTTAAACCTCCTTTTATTTTGGTCTCTGGGGGCGGTAAATGCTGTCCCGGACAACTGTTCAGCGTACAAACCATAAGGGCATTTTTGAGGTGTCAACTGAAAAAAAAAATTTTTTTTTGTTAATTCTAATAAATGATTTAAAAAATGAATAACTTCTAACTTGTCCAGCGGGCAGTGAGTTTGGACATCTCGGATCTTCCGATGAAATATCAGATCCCAATCCGTTGCGATACTGCAATGTGGGATCACATTTAAATATTATTTTCTTCAAAATTATTCCGTCATAATTTTTGGTTCATTATTATTATTATTCAGAACTCTGACATTTACAAAACTGCTTTCATGTCATTCTATACTTCTTGCTAAAATTTTGTGCTACAAAGTCTATACTACCCAAAGCACACGACTTACATGTACACACACTAACACACACACACACACACGCATACATTCATTCAAACATACAGACATACATACATACATACATATATACATAACATACATACATACATACATACATACATACATACATACATACATACATACATACATACATACATACATACATACATACATACATACATACATACATACATACATACATACATACATACATACATACATGCATACATGCATACATGCATACATGCATACATGCATACATGCATACATGCATACATGCATACATGCATACATGCATACATACATACATACATACATACATACATACATACATACATACATACATACATACATACATACATGCATACATACATACATACATACATACATACATACATACATACATACATACATACATGCATACATGCTTACTTTTAAATTTTGAAAATCGTTCATTGTAATTGTCTTTTCGTTACAAAATTATCCCAAGTTAAAAGATGCTTGAAAATTGTCAATAAAATAAAATAACTTTTTGATTTTAAAACAGAAAAAAATATTTAATAAAAAATAATTATAAAGTTTGGAACACCAAAATTTGTCACCGGTTCCAATGTTTTATAGTGGAAGCGAAACTGGAGTTTAAACTCCATACCACAGTTCAAAATGATAACAACTTGATCGTTGAACTCTTTTTGTGTTTGTATGTATGCATGTTTGTGTATGTGTGTGTGTATGTATGTGTGTGTGTATGTGTACGTGTGTGTGTTGGAGTGGATATGTGTTTGTTTGAGTGTTTGTAAGCATTTGCAAACTTCAGCAGGGTATACTAACTTAATGTTATTGTATGATCATAATATTGCGTTTCTTTATAATTTCTTCGCCATAAAACCAGACTATCAGATAATATCCATCAGCACTTCTTATGAACTTGTGCAAAACGTCAGAAGGAACATCAAAGAATAAACTTTGAAATTTTTAAGACTCAAAATTAAACCAACAGCACGATGAGTGTGACTGTGTACACATAGGCATTTTAACATGTGTACTCACATGTGTGTGTGTGTGTGTGTGTGTGTGTCTGTGTGTGTGTGTGTGTGTGTGTGTGGATTACACATATATATATAAAAGTATAGAAAGGTACAACGATATGTGTCAACTCGAAAAATATTGCCTATAACAACAACGAAGCGTAATTAAAAACAATATGAACTAGTTTTTCGATGGAGGCACTAGAAAAAAAAATGAAAAAGAAAGAAAAAGAAAGAGAGAGAGAGAGAGAAAGATAGATAGATAGATAGATAGATAGATAGATAGATAGATAGATAGATAGAGAGAGAGAGAGAGAGAGAGAGAGAGAGAGAGAGAGAGAGAGAGAGAGAGAGAAAGGAGAAGAAAAAAAAGATCAACCAAGCCAACTGCAATAAAACAGACATGAAGTGTCTTGTAAATTTCAAACAAACTTTAAAGAAAAATTGCCACGATGAGTTTTAATTGAATGGCGTGAACCGTACATAGCATAAAACAAATCTCAAGAGCATTTATATGATATTTCATAAAAGGGCCAAATTTACATTTGACAATATCAATGAATTACCAAAAAAATCAGGAATTGTCAGAAATTTTCAACTAGTCTTTCTTAAAAACGTCATTTAACACCGAAAATTAATCAACCCTTCCAGAATAGAAAAACAAATTCAAAATTAGGCACCGTTGTTACGCAGAACGAAAGCGATGTTTTTGTTGATCTTAGAGATCATCTTTACATGATTTTGTACAGTAGTCATTAACCTTTGCTCGCAGACTGCTATCGATCCAATCATTGTTTATAGAGAATTGTGTTTGAGGACATTTAGAATAAATAAATAAATCGTTCAATCGTCTACATGCGTTTAATAGACTCTATGTGCCAAGAATTTTGTCCTGATTTTAAACTTGCTGATTGCAAATGGCTGTCTCTTTCTTTGATAAATGGCTGACTTGTTTTAATGAAAGATTTTATATTCAGAGTTTGAAAAAGATTGCTTGATCATAATTTTTCTTCTTCTATTTTAATAAAAAGAGATAATCTAGTGCTGATACTATCAATATCAAACTTTTAATTACATTTTTACGAACAATTTTTATAACAATATTTTATTTATTTACATAATTTAAAAGGAAATATTAAAAAAAAAAACTCGAACGGGAGATATAATAATCATGTTAGCAGTAGTCTATTCCTGCGGTAAGTGAAGAAATAATCATCGTGGTCTTTTGAAGACTATTTCTCTATTTGAGAAATAGTCTTTAAAAGTCTTTAATAAGTCTTTAGATAATCTCATTCTATGAACTTTATACCTACTATTATTTTTATTTGACTCAACAGATGTAAAACTAGAAAAATTGCATACATTTTTCTGTCTTCTTGAATTAAACTAAAACTAAACAAACATAAACTAAACATACCTACATAAACATAGCCATCAATGCTATCAAAATCGTAATGACACAATTTTTTTTAAAATTTAAAATAAATTCAAAACCAACCACTTTTAACAGTAGCAGTGCTAATGGTTGTTGAGGTTGAGAGCCCTTTTGTAAATGTGGCCTGGAAAAAAGCGGCTTTCGTCAGTACGGAGTACCCCAGAGAAGTGGAGGCGGGACCCTGGCGGGGCGTGGATGGCCGAAAAGGACGCACGGACTACGTACACATAGCCGAAAATGACACAGAAATGAACTGGTTCGTCATAGATCTGATACATAGTTATCAGGTGAAGTATATTCATCTTTTTAACAGAGAGTGTCCGGACTGTGGTTAGTTTGTTTGGGTTGTGGTGGTGGTTGGTGGGTTTTTGTGGTTGGTGGTGCTGATAGTGGCTCGTTGTTTTTGTTTTTGCTATTGCTTTGAAGTTGTTGTTATACGGTCGTAAGGTTAAATTTATTTGTTCATTTATTACGTTTTAATGTTGATACTGCTAACATGATTATTTTATCTTCCGTTCGTGTTTTTTTTAATATTTCCTACTAAATTATGTAAATAAATAAAATATTGTTTTAAAAATTGTTCGTAAAAATATAATTAATAGTTTCATATTGATAGTATCAGCACTAGAACATTTCTCTTAATGATGGCTTTTAGTTGTTTATTTTCCAACTAATCCTCGAAATCATTGGGTCCAAAAACTTTCCTACGCACCAGAGGAGCGGATGGACCACTTCATCATCGGCACGACGAACACTTTTGATCCGACCATCAACAAAACCATTCGAAATCGCTACCAACTGTGCGGTCAGTGGCCTACAAAAGCCTTCCCACCGTTCAGAGCCATGCGTATTGACTGCTTGAATCCCAATGCTTTCTCAAGATTTGTTATATTGCAGCAGGATGTCGGTAAAAGTAGCATGGGCTTTACTGAACTAGAGGTTTACACTGACGGTTAGTTAGGTAGTTGGTTTGTTAGTTGGGTATGTGTGTGTGTGTGTGTGTGTGTGTGTGTGTGCGTGGTTTGATTTCAAGAAACAAATCCAAAACCAATAAATTACATAATCTAATTTATGCAAAAAATTGTTTCACCAACTTCAAACAAATCCCAATTCCCATAGGAAAACCAATTTACACAAAGAACCTAGCTCTAAACAAGCCAGTGTATTTCAGCACAGCAAGGCCAGGCGACATGTACGATCCCAAAATATGTGTTGATGGAAATTTCACACCCGATAACATTTATTGCTTGCAGGGACTGGAGTCGCCTCCATATAAAAACTGGTTCGCTATTGATCTCCTGAGAGAGCATATGATTGTCTATGTGGTTCTCTATGGAAGAACTGACTGCTGTGGTTGGTTTCTAGTTTAAGTGTTTTAATTTTTTTAAAGAATTTCTAGTCTATTAAAAAAGTTAATGAATATAATAAAATTTGTCTTGATATTCGTTCAGTTTTGCTATTGAAAACTTTGGAAAAGCTCTATTTTATTTGGTTATTCATGAAGTTTTTTCATCAAAACTAACAACTTGACAAAAAATGCATTCCTTCCCCATACTTTCTCCACATACTTCCTCCAATCCTACCCCAGTCAGTGACATGGATTACTTTGTAGTCGGTCTGACAAACAAGTTTGATCCACAAGTGAACACAACAGTCAGAAACAACTACAGAATGTGTGGACATTGGAAATCTGCGGCCCTCGTAAAAGGCATGCCCATGAGAGTGACGTGTGAAGATGACTCCTTCCATTCGAGATTCGTCATCATTCAGCAGTCAGATCTGAAAAATAACAGCGGTCTTGGGTTTAAAGAGGTTGAGGTTTATGCGAATGGTGAGAAGAATTAATTAAATTAATTAATTAAGAAATAATTTTTCGTTTTTTTTATAACCAAAACCAAAAAACTTTCCACCTAATTTGAGACCCGATAAGGAAAAAGTATTTCGGATGTTTCAGAAACTTCAGAGGCGAGAAAACCTTCCCCAACCAGCACATGGGAAAATGCATTGCACTCTGCCGCAATGCCAATCTGCCGTTTGCCACCATGAATGTGGTGAGGCGCTTTTGGTGATGATTTCCTATCAAATTTTTTCCATTCAAATCATCGGCATTCTCTTGCCAAACTCGTTGTATTAATTTAGAAAATGTATATCTATACATTTATAGCTTTCAGTTGATATATATCGATAGAAGTCTGTAAACCGTTATTGGCAATTAACTCTTTAATCCTTCTTAAATTCACCATTTTTCGGTAACAAACAAATTTATATAGCGTAAAATTTCAGAAGTAGATATTAACATAAGTGCATTTTTCACTTATGCGTGTAGGAAAATTTTGACGACTGCATATGTGGAAGTGTTGTTGGGTATCCCGTGTCCAGTATTAACTGCCTCGTTAACTGCACCAACGATAAGAGATGCATCGTCCGCGATTTCTTCACCGTATTTGAAGGTACGGATAATTTTTTTTGTTCTTGATATTTTTGAAATGAAAATAATGCAAATAACAGTACTATTATTGTTGTTGATGTTGCCGCTACCAATACTACTGTCACTACTACTACTGCTACTGATGTCGCTTTTGCTGCTGCTGCTGCTACTGCTACTACCGTTACTACACAACTACTTTTACGATCACTGTTGGCGATGGATGACAATGAAATCAATGATAAAGATGATAATAATTGAAAACTTTGATTTAAGAATGATTAAGATGATAATAATTGAAAATTTAAATTTAAAGTAAGCGAGATGGCAGTAACGACGCAACCGGAAATGGGTTGCTTCCGGGAGAAGATGACTCCGGAGATTAACGAGAACCTGATGCTAATTTCAGATGGAGAATCCTCTTGCAGAAGATGCATTGCCCACTGCTTCAAATCCAACTTTCTGTACGCTTCTATTAATGTTAGCTGCTGCTGCTACCGCTCCGGCTACTCTCGTTGCTTATGATGATAATGATGAAAATGGTGGTATGGGATGATGATTTTGGTGAAGATGACTGAAGGATGATTTAGGCGATGATGACGACTGTGTTGATGACAATGTGGCATATTGATCTCTAAAAAAATACCACACACTTTTACACAGACAGAATGATGACAATGATAATAACAATGATGACGATGACACCCGATTAAATGGGGGTAATCTCCCACCCAAAGCAACACCCCAACAAACTTTCACCCCACCCCCTTTCTAGAGTTTAACCTGCCAGTGTGGCAATACTTATGACACTCTGGAGAAAGTTAGCGAGAGTCACTGCAACGTCAAGTGTGCCACGGAGCAATCTAACAATTGTGGGGGGTCGGTGGCGAGCCGCTACGTGAATCTTTTCCTCAGTTAGCTTTGAGTAAATTTTAACCCTTTGTTATTCCAAATTTAATTAAATGAAACTTTTATCACAAATCAACACCACCAAACAACAACGACAACAAAAACAACGACAACAACAACACCAAACAACAAAAACACCAAACAACAACAACAACGACGACGACAACAACAATAACAACAACAACGACAACAACAACACCAAACAACTACAACAACAACGACAACAACAAGACAAAAACAACTTCAACAACAATAACAACAACAACACCATCACCAACGAAAACAACAACAACCACGAAATTAGCTGGATATATATACGGTCTAGAAATGAACCCTTACGAAAGGTACCATTGCTTGAATGGTACCAAATTTGATGGACTGAACGAATGCCAAGAATGCGAGCCTGGTTGGACCGGCCGAATGTGCAAAGAGAGAGGTTTCGATTCAAAATATTTATCATTTTTTGGTTGTTATTGTTATTATTACTATGGGGCACCTCGATGGTGAAATGGTTAAGACGTCTGCCTTTGTTTTTGTGGTTACCGGTTTCAAATACAAAGTGTGTGTGACTCGTTGATTCGCGAGTATTGGCGTGTTTTTTGTTGAAACCTCCGAAAGAGAATTGTAAAAAAATCATAAGTTCCATCAACATCGTCATCGTCGTTATCTTCCTCACCATCAAAGATTGTGCGGTGAACAATGGTGCTTGCGGTTCGGACAAATGTGTAACGCATAGTTTCGCATACGCCAACATATCTGAGTGCGAGTGCCGAAATGGTTACGCAAAAGTTTTTGCACAGGGAGATTGTAGAGGTGAGTCTGCTTGTATATCTGTTTATACGTTTTTATGTATGTTTGTTTGCTTATTGTTTGTATGTCTGTGTATTCGCATGTTTGTATGAATTGGCTTGTATATTTGTATGAATTTGTTAGTATACTTGTTGTACATCGCAGGCAATACACACGCTAACGGCAAAACTCAATTATATACACACGCCACACGTTCGCCACAGAAGACGCAGCCACACACGCCACACACGACGCAACCACACACGCCACACACGACGCAACCACACACGCCACACACG